AAAAAAAAAAAAAAAAAAAAAAAAAAAAAAAAAAAAACATTCATCGCTCATATTAAGAAAAGAAAAAGATTTATTGATAAAAATACACGTTGGATATAATTTTTCTTTATTTCTTGCCCATAAGATGTAGCGAGCAAATATTATAATCACCCAAGCAATAACGCTCTGTTTGAATATCATAATTTGTTTGTAAAATTTAAATTAAATAGTATTGCGATTTATGCTCAATGGTTGCATTAGAAACAACATATAATCGTGAAAATGGAATTTTAGGTTAGTTAAGAAAATAATAAAAGAAATAATAAAGGTGGGCACTAAATTCTAATCGTTTTTATATAATCGTATAAATGAGAAACAAGGAGAGAAAATTTTCGTTAAGCCGAAATCGGGAAACTGCACTGGAACTTCTAAGGCTCGGAGAAGTGGCGCAATTAGCTAACAGTCGCCTCACAACTTATCAAGGTTTCACAAGAAACAAGCATCTCTCTCACGTGGTTCAAGCCATATTTAACATATCGCAGTTCGTACGTTCATATTATTGATTAACTTTCCATTTCACTATGCAAGGATAACCTTATTATAAAATTAGGTTACACTGATTGGGAACAATTATTTTTTTCACTAATTTGAAAGTTCATTTAATACATTTGAAAGGGACTTGAGTTTATTGCACGTTCAATAAAGCTTTTTAACAACGACGTATCACTTACATATATGTAACAACAATAGTTTATAATAGTTGCGTATATTATATTAGAACATGTAAATTGGAATTTTTTTCTTCTCCTTTTTTTCTTTTTTATAAAATGGATAGTTACCATCTACGAGGCAACAGATTACACGTGTAATATATTTAATGGTTTAGGACAGTCGGGTAGTCTTAATTATCAAATAATACATATTTATTCATTTTACGATGAATTTGATTACAACTTGAATGTCACATGATCTTGAAAGTAATATTATAAGATTCGAGCAACAAAGGCACATCTGATAATTATGCAATATTGACAATTACATCGGAATTAAGGAGTTAACAAAAACAAAAACTAAAAAAAAAAAACAAACAAACAAACAAAAACAATAACAAAAATAAATGAAATAACAATAATTATTAGTAGTGATATGTAAAAATTTTCTCTTGTATTCTCTTAATTGAAATTACAAAATATCGAGCATATCTTTTTAAAATCTAATATATGCATTTATTTCGTTTCGTCGTCCCTAGGAAGCAGTCTTATTTCTTGCGGTTTTACTCTCTACGATACTCTTTGCTTTCTTCCAACTCTCCCACTCCTCATTCGCAAGCTTGATCACGAGTTGCATGGCTTTGGAAGCTTGTTCATTCAGCTTGCTTAATTGAATATCCGAGATCTTACCCTCAGTATTTAGAGCAACTTTTATCGATCCTTCAATTTTACGCGCCCACTTATTCCTCTGAATAGCAATTCCCATAGCGATTTTCTTCAATACATGAATAGTCGTTTTTTTATCATGATCGCTCGTTTTTATGTCCAGTTGAACACCATAAGTATCTTTAAATTTGATACCGTCGTGTGCTGCTATCGTGTATTCTCGTAACTTCCAAAATTTAACTATTGCTTGCGTTGATGATTTCCACCATTTCGATAATTTGACAGAGTAAATCTTGCCAACCTTAAGATTTAAAAATGAGTGTATGTTTCAAAAACTTTTATTATCACGAGAGTCCTGAAATTTAATAAGTTTATGCATAAAGCTCTGTCAAGGCATTGAGGACAAATACTGTCCTCGTTTTAACTATTCTTAAGATGTCGTTAAATGTTTTGCCAGTAATTTAACAGTTAATATATATATATATATATATAGTTATTATAAAAATGTAGCCACGCATGCACTGTAAAAGTAAAATAATCACAGGCACTTTTTTCAGCCTCTCTGACTCATTAATGTTTTTTCATTCTTTTTTTGCCTTCTGTATTATAATAACAGTGTTGTATACTACTTACGGGATAAACATTATTATTCGACTGATCCGTATAATATTATTACAATATGAATACTTACTTATATCGAGGTATATATATATATATATATATATATATATATATATAGCTTACAATAGTACGATATTATTGTAAAAAAAAAAAAAAAAACGTTAGTACATTACGCGTATATTTTTAAAGTACATCGAGAAACATTCAACAGAAGGAAATATTTTTAATGATAATTGCTCGATCTCTAATTGAATACGTAATTTTGCTTTCAAATTATGTGTTGTAAAATACAGTAAATAGTAAATATTGGAAAACAAATGCAATGTACATAAACTTTCTCACTGATTGCGAACAAAACAATTTATTATTATACTTTGAAAATATTCCTCAAATCTTCTTCTATTATACAACACTTATAATATAAAGTAGGAACGACGAATAAATGCACTAAATTACTAATTAAAACTATTTTGCCGTTTTAAATTTTACTTATACCAAAAATAATAATGTAAAGCTTCATCCCTTTTCAAAAATCACCACAAAAAATAAAGAGAGTCTATAAAACCGAAGCCATAGATATTACATTTGTAAAATCGTAAAATCGTTAATATCAATAAGTTATATAGTAAATTAATTTATATACTAATATATTAAAGTGATATTTCATTTAATAGAATGTAATTACTAGATTTTTAAAATTTTTTAGATTTTTTTATTTTTCTCTAGCACTTTAGACACAGTCGAAAATATTCAAAGAATTGATAGATCTTCTATTATTCATGATATTGTAATATCGTTGTAAGATCATATCGCTTATTAAAATTAATGCCAAACTACTGGTTAACCAGCAATTATTTTGGGAAAACATTATCTCAACGGATTATTGAAGCAATTAATGTTGGAGTAAATAAAAAGATTGTTATGGTACTACATTAATCTATGATAATTTGTGAAATTATGACATTATACGCATCTAAATTATCGAAATATTCAATGTTATACATGAAAGATCATATGACAAAACGTAATGTACAACATGCTGATGATTTGTAACACTTAATTTACTTCATAAAATATATATAATCTAATACTATAATAGAAAAAATATCTTAATGTAAATTGAAAATATTATGCAATATGATGATATTATGCGATGAATAGTAAATATTATGTAATGAACAGTATAATAAATTATGGTTTTTTTTTTTTATTTTTTTGCTTTTAACGGCTAATTTACTTGATAACGCGAGACATATTCTATTGCATAAATTGCAAAAAGAAGTATATGAAAACTGAAAATATTTGCATATACAACAAATAAAAAAAATATTTTTCAATAATTAAAATTCTGACACTACAGCATATATAAAAACAAATAATTATGTATGTGAGATTTTTTTAAATATGAAAAGATGTAACATTTTGTAGAAAATAAAAAGTAGTTTCACGAGGCGCTCCAAAGTATTATTTATTCATTAAAATTGATAAGCTGCTCTATATTTATTACTTATTTAAAGTTTTCGGTTTCTCTTTTTTTTTTTATTTTTCGACATTTTGCATATGGAGTTTCAATTAAAATATTCATTTCTAATAGTATGCATTCGCACGATCATAATTCCATTTTATCTCTTAATTTACCTCAAATCATTAAAAAAAAACATTTTAATACCCATTTTCTACTATTACCACCATTACTACATTATTATTATCGGCAATTTTTTATATCATTTTTATCATAAAAATGGATTCTAAGTTTACCGATTAGTCACATATATATTATAATATTATTTACAATATTATATTTTCAAGCGGCGCAGGTGTAGCATTAATTTACTTTTTCATTAATTATCCAAATTCAGTGTATTTTTATAAATTTATGTGAAATATAAATTTCGAATATGCAAACTACAATTACTGTATCTTTTTCTTATTTATATGATTAAATGTTAATTTTATTCAAACTATATTAACCAGTGAAAACTAAAATGTTTAGAATTATATAAAAACACAATATTATTGATATATGTGTGCGCGTGTGTGTGGGTGTGTGGGTGTGAAGCCACAATGAATTATTAATATAATATAATAGAGACTACTCATTTTTAAAACATAATAATATTAAAAATAAAAATCTTATTGTTTGTCTTAAAAATGTTAAAATCTTTGAATCATTATTACTTTAAATAACAGACTTCCTGAAGTAATTTTAATAATTCTGTTCTGAACTAGGATTAATCTTGATTAAACTGTTGTAATAAATTTCGATTTTTTTTTAAATTTCTTAATTAAATATCGTTATACATGTTATTAATAAATTGATAAAACGTACAGCACATCTCCTTTCTTTATTTTTCATCATATTCAATGAATTTTATTCGGGTTTGTCTGTTACATAGTAAGACTGTATGTCATACTTATACAGATCAATTGCAATTATTATACCAATAATTGCTCCGAAAACACTGTAGATATGAAATATTCTATAAATATCTTATTAAAAACAATTAATCACTTTTTCTTTTTCATTAATTTTATTTACGACTTTGAAATGTTTCGAAGACACTGATTATTTATAATAGCTGCTTTCCAACAGTCAATTCATCAACAGAATTTACAATGCAATATACTGAAATAATTATAAAACAGTCATCTCATATCGAAACAAATAATATAATCACAAAATATTTGTATCAATTTTAAACGCAATCTAATACTATTTTTAAGATACTATGAGTAAATAATTTCAAACGTTGATTCTACTGAAACTTATATAAAATTTTCTTATTTTTTAAATAGTAGTTAAAATGTATACCTTCACAATCTTAACTTTGTGTGGCTTCGACTAAAAGGAAAAAGAAAAATTATTATTAAAAAATATATATAATACAGAAAAACATAATTTATTATATTCTTATATAAAATATTATTAAAATGTCACACACACATATATATATATATATATATATATATATATATTATAATAAGAATTATTATTATTGCACAGCTACATTATTTATGGTTGAGATATAATGAAAATCGTTACTTTTCAAGAATCGGAAGAAATAAATATTTGAGTTTAAAAGAAAATAAATCTAATAGTAAATTAGTGAAATAGTAAAATAATTGATAATTTTTTAAATGGACTTGCAAAAAAAAATATATATATATGACTACAAACGTTAAAAATAGTTTAGAATTTATCAAAAACATCCTTTCAAATATTATATTAGAAAAAAATATAATTTTTACCATAAATGTAGATGATTTAATTAAAAAAGTTAAGATTAAAATTCAATCTATTTTTATTTATAATCTTTGAAGAATTAAAAATCTTTTAAAATTGGAATAGTTAAACATTTATTTACTAATTACCTTTAAGATGAAAATTAACTTTAATATCAATACAACTTGTAAAATATAATATAATTTTTAAATTCCACCAACAATAAATGTTAGATAAATTTGTATAACAAATTTATAGAAATTTTCAAAAATATTCAAATAATAATCGATATTTTTATATGTATTATCGTAATATTAAAGCTCTAAACAATTTTATTAAATAATTAATATTTACAATCGAATAAACATATTTACTTTAAATATTATAATATGTGAGATTTTTAATATAAGAGATTTTTATTATAATTTAAAAGAACATACCTCCTCATCTTCAGCTAAATTGATCAGATGTTGATCCTGGAAAGAAAATAATTACTATCAGTATTATGGTTTGCAATATAATACATATTTTAATGTAATATAAAATTTATAATTATAAGGAATAATTTGATGTGAAAAAATTTCAATTTGTTATATACAAAATTTATTGTTAAACCTCGTAGATGTTATGGGTCATTTTTTCTTAAATATATTATATAATATATTGTAATATGTGCTTACCACGTGGTCGTGTGAATCGTCGGTTTGCGTACCCTAAAATAAAAGTATTGGTTATCGATATTAGTACATCCAATATATTCTATATTCTCTTGTAATTCATACTTTAATTATTACTGCTTGTTATATAATTTAATATATTTTGATTTATTGTATAAAAATTTATTGTTAAAATTAGTAAGTATCATTCTCAATTTTTGCATCAACTATCATTTGTAACATTTATATTTTGTTATATTTACGTACTTCATCGCCGGGTGACTGACCCTGAAATATAAATAATAATTATTAATCTCAGTGTATGTAATGTAATATCATTTTTGTAGTTTGTTAATTAATTATCAATACAATAATTTTATTTAAAATATGCTACTTTATTATTAATTTTGTTTGTTTGTTTGTTTGTTTTTTTTTTTTCATTTTAAAAGCATGATTTTCAATCATTTTTCTAAACTAAATTCTAAAGAATTTATGTTTAATTGAATGTATTTACCTCATCGTTAGATGAATCGTCGATTGGCGTATTCTGTAATAAAAGCATTGATTATCGATAAAAGTAACTCTAATATAACATACAGCGTAATTCACATATGAATTATTACTGCACGTAATTTTATATAATAGATTTTAGTTTATGATTTAGTACTTTATTATTAAGATAAAATATAATATTTCCATTTTTTTTTCTTCAAACAACTATATAAAAATTTTTGTTTAATTATCATTATTTACCACTTCCTCGGTTGCGTCATCGATTGGCGTAATCTATAATAAAAATATAATAAGTTTTAATATTAGTAAATCTAATATATATATATATATATATGTGTGTGTGTATATATACTGTAAAACGTATATTAATCTTACTGCATGTAATTTTATTTATAAATATATTAATTTATTATTTGATGAATTATTGTAAAAACTTATTCCTAACTACCATCTAAAAAATTTAGATTTTATCTATTTACCTCTTCATTAGGTATGTCATCGCCTTCTGTATTCTAGAATAAAAATGATGATAATTGTTATTGGGATGTATCCAATATAATTATATTTGTATTGTAATTCATGCATTAATTATTGCAATTAATTTTATTATTTAATATTTTATTGTTTGATTAAAAAAAAAAATTATTTCAAACTATTTTCTCTTGACATTTATATTTTATTATATTTATTTACCTCTGTATCGGATGACTCATCAGATGGTGAATTCTAGAATAAAAGTGATGATTACGATTTGTACTTTATCTAATATAATATGTATTGTAATTAATCAATTAACGTTGCTGCACATAATATTATTTAATATATATTCATTTATTACTTAGTAATTTATTGTTCAGCTTAATAAACTAAATTTCAAATTTTATTTTGAACTACTACGTAAAAAACTTATAATTTATTATATTCATTTACCTCTTCGTTAGGTGATTCGTCGATTTCCGTATTCTAGAATAATAATCGTGATTATCACTATTAGTGTCTGTGTAATACACATTGTATTGTAACTAAAACTTTAATTGTAAGTAATTTCACTATGTAATAATTTATTGCTAAATTAAAAAAGTATCATTTTGAATATTTTTACTTAATCAAATTCTATAACGTATATATTGTATTATATTTTTTTACCTCTTCATCAGATGGTTCATCAGCTGATAAATTCTAAAATAAAGGAGATAATTAATATTAGTTTATCTAATTTAATATATATATATGTATGTATTACAAATTTGATTTAATCTTGATCACTTATAAATTTAATTTATTAGTAGGGTTTAATTATTGTAAAGAAATTTATTAATCGTCCAAATAAATATCATTTGGATAATATGTCATTATTTAACTGTGATCTATAAGATTTATGTTTAGATTTATATTTACTTACCTCATTACTATAAGGATAGAAATACTCCAAAGTCTGGAATAAAATTAATTATAAATAGTATGTCTAATGAAATTTAACGTACAATGTAAATTTATTCTTAAATTAATGTTATACCGAATTTTATTTGATGCATTTAATTTTGTTACATAAAAATGTAGTGCTCATGTTAACGATTATTATTCCTAATTTGTTCTTTATTATATTCTACAACTTTCATATTACGATATATTTATAAATAACATTCAATTTTAATAATAATTTAATATATTGTTTTTATAAATAAATATTTTGAATGCGGTTATACAGTCAATGATATAGCATAACAAAAGCTAAGGAATTTTCTTTATGTTAACTTTTTTCATATTTGTTACTTTAAACATAAAAAGTAAATAAAAATAGCTAAAGTAAATATTATTCTTAATATATTTGGAATTACATCAGCTGACCTTATAATTCCTAATAGTGAAAAATATTATAAACACATAAACTTACGGGTATTATTACTATCTGAACTATAAATCTCAGAAATATATATTCTTGAAATTTAAAATACTAATGCAATACTATTGTGATTATATTCTAAGTAATGGAAAATTACAATTTTGTACTAAAATAGGAAATATTTCAGTGTTTGTGTTTGATTTTTTTTTTCTATATACAAGTTTAATGATGAATTTTTAATAGAAATAATTTGTAATTGAAATAAAAATATACATAAGTACTTAAATACGTGAGTATTTGGTAAATTTTTAATAAAATATATATAAATATAATGGACAAATATTACCTCGGGTAGATTGCCTTTTTGTTCCTGCAAGTAAGATACAATATAAATCAGTTTTAATCAATCAATAAAACCTTTATTTATAATTTTTATTATTATAAAATATTTTAATAAACAATCATATATTTAATACGAATATTTATTACAAATATAATATAATTACTGACTTGGAGAATAGATTTAATAAAATTTTAACGGTTAAAAAGTTTTTGACTATTACCTTTAATACATATGCCACACCAGTTAATCTAGCCTAAAACAATAAACATGAGTATAAATAATAATACGTAAGCATATATAAATTACATATTTACATTTAACTATTTGTATAGTGCAAAATAAAATTGCATAGCGTTTTGCATAAATAAAATTTATTTGGCAACTAAATTTGGAGAATAATAATTAATTTTATATTTAAATAATTTATAATTATGGATCTATAACAAATGTAAAATTATACTAAAATAATTAGAATTCAAAAAATTTATTTTTTATCACTTCTAAATATTTCAAATTAATCATTTTCAATACGGTTATGAAAATATTGATATTATGTAACTAATGATCTATAGAATTTTACAATTTTATCTTACATTGTATTTTCTATTGAAATTAAAAAGTACTAATACAAAACAATCAAATTAATTTATAATTATAACAGACAAACGATTTGATAAAATATATTAGACAGTCTAAACAATGAAATTTGAAAATAAAATTTAGCAACTATAATTAAGAGCTTACATGCCTAATTATTTTAATTAATCTAATTAAAATATAAATAATATTGATTAATAATTTTAGTTACCTTTCCTTTTCCACCAGATTTACGGGCCTGAAAATTGTTATATTCATCAATCTCAATTAATGGCAAATAATGATATTGATACTATCAATCTTTAACTTCTTACATTATACTAATTGGATATCACGTTTTACAAATATGACATTTAAATGTTTATTATGTTAACGAAACATTAATGAAATATTATGTTTAAAACAATTTGTAATATTGAAACTTATTCTAGATATTCGAATATTTTTAAATATGAAATTTTTATAAAAAATTATTAATGAAAAATTTTATTTTTTATAGTTTAAAATTTATGAGAAAATAATTATATAAAAATTATGGAGAAATTTTAACGATAGTTTAAATGAAAATTAATATATACAAATTAGAATTTTATATTGAAACTATTAATAGAAGGGAATAAATTTGCTATATACATTACTAAGTATTATTTTAATGAATTTACTAAATAAAATTTTAAATCATTACCTTTACTGAGTAGACCACTCCCGTTATTTTTTTCTAAACAATTAATGTAAATGCATATATTATTACATATACTAATTATAAGTTTAATGAATTATTAATTATTTTATTTACTATATATATATATATATATATATATATATATATATAAATGTAACAAAACATATAATTAGTGCAATCATGATTATTTCGATTGAACTATTAGAATAAGATCTTTAACTTTTCTATATAATAAAAGTTAATTTTCTTTATTATATTTAATATTAAAATACCTAATTTTATTAAACGACATTTTTAGAACTTGAAGTTAAAACAAAATTAAAATTATGAACTCGTTATTATTTATAATGTTTAATGTAGTAATCATCATAGCGATTAATATTAAACTAGTGAAAAAAAAATTTAAATATCCATTCGTTATTAAACAATATTTTCCATAAATATTCAATTCGTCTGTTACTTAATTTTATATTATTTAAAAAAGTATATATTACATTCTGTGAAATAATTATGAGTAAATATTCATTTTTTCATGTTTAACACAGGCTTATATATATATATATATATATATATGCACATAAATTTATATGAATAAACTTGAGTTAAACATGAAAAAATGAATGCTCTAAAACTATATTTTTTTAAAATTATCAAATGACATATATATAATATATAGATAAAATATATACATAAATATATATTATATAAAAAAAATTTTGTGTTACCTTACGATCGTCGCCATCTGACTTTTTCTGAAAAAATTTTAACAACAGTTTGTAAAAATAGAGAAATTAATTATTTATTAAATTAATATACTATATAATATAATTATATTATTTTCATTCTTCGGATATTATACATTAATCTAATATTATATCTAATATTATAATTGTATGATTCGAAGTATTTCTAAAAATATGCAATTATTTAATTTAATTGAATTGAATCGATGAATAAAAAGTATTTTAATAATCAAATACAATAAAAAGTTTGTCTTGTCAAAAACTTTTAAACACATTCAAAATTATTTTAAACGCTCTATTGGCTATACGCTATACACCTTCATTGAAGTTAAGAAATAATTAAATATTGTTATCCTTTTATTCGTTTTCTAAAAATCTAAAAATGATTTTGGAATATCTATTATCGTTGGTATATCGAATATCATGCAAATACGTTAGAAAATCACGTAGATACTAATGCCCACGACTCGTTCGATTTCCAATCAAATTTGAACCGCTACTTGTCGAAATATCAATAACCAATACAGGAATCATTAATGAAACTCGCCAATTAGCATGTATTATCGGTAATTAGTACCAAAGTGGAAACGTGAAATGATCGAGTAATTGAAATGAGATTTTTCGCGACGCCACTGAAATGCCAAATCGTGGGGATCATAAAAACAATGATGATTAGACTCGGAAAGATAAATTTGAAAGGAAAGAGTATATAAAATAACTAGGATACTGTGCCAAATAAATCATCTGAACGAAAAACCCAAAGTACCCACGAAAAATCGTCCGGTCGGCGATACAATGAAACGCTCGGAGGAACATATAATCACATGATGAACACGAATTGGGAAATCGAAATCCTCAAATCATTCGTTTCTTCTAATGAGCCAATAAATACAGAATTTATATTCCCTTCGTGTCTTATTTATTTATATTACAATACGAGTTTATATTTTAAGAGACCTCAAGTCGAGAATAACGCGATTACCAAAAACTTAATATTCACTTGCATAGTCAATACAAAATCTCATTTTTATAATTCGCATCGCGAATATGCTTTTTTATTGTACGTTTCGTTATTATATTTATTATATGTAAATTGTTTTTATCTTTGTAATTGTTATAAAGGACTTGAGGGGATATTCTTTGTTAACAATGTACATTAAGTATAATTAATATAATTTATAAGTATTACGTAATTACCTTTCTAGAGAATAAGTGGCTATTTAGTTTAATCTGAAATAGACACAATGTATTTTAATTTCAATAAATCATCTGCAATGATACAATTATTTTCATTATTTGCAAAAAAATTCGAATACAAATAAATTTGTTTATTTAAAAAATAATTACAGTAAATATGAGATTTTCAATATAATTTAACCGACATACACTTTTATTTATATTAATATATAAGTATTTTTATCGTAAATGTATCTAAATTTATATATTATACGTGCATATAGTTTATAGGCTTTCTGAAATAATCGATTATATTTATTAAGATATATTATCATACGTTCTGTTGATTATATTATGAGTAATTTATTTAAAAAATATATAAAAAAATTCGAAAACCTATTCAAATAATTCTGTATACATAACAAGGTGCATTTTATTTGTAATCAGCTTCATATATATAAATGCAAGATATAACTTTCCGACAAATAATAAAATATATGATCAATATCATATATGCAATATATAAATCTACATAGTAAGAATAATTTTTAATAATAATTCAGATCCAATAATAATGTGAAAGTATATAATTTTTTAATGTATTTGAAATTTTCATCAAATTTAACGGGTAAGATAGTATTTTATTTACCTTATCGGTATCTCCATCACTCTTTTTCTGTAATACATATAACACAAATGAATATTGATATAAATTATGCTTGTCTTTAATACTAGAATTCAAAACACATTACTATGAAATATATGTGTGTTTCCCTAAATTACTAAAAACTCTTTCTAACGACTGAAATTTATTTAAAAATTTAATAATTGCAAAGAATATGTATTTAACAATAAAACATATTTCTAATACCAAAGAAGTATATTTCGTAGACAGTCCAAACAAATAGATTTAGTATCATGAATGACACTATGGTTGAGATAATCTTAAAAAGAAATTAACTGAACTTTAAATTATTACCTTAAAATTGTACGAAATGCCAGATACTTGAGTCTAAAAACAGTAATAATATACATAAATATTAACAATGATTTGCATGCCATTTTAATTGTAATTATTGGTGTTTAGTAATCATGTATTATTTGAATTTCGTATAATAATAAAATTGATTGCTTAAAAGCAATATTGTACATATGAAAATTCAAGTCAAATTCAAAAAAAAAATTTCAATTATACTACAAAATATTTATTACAAAATTGTGATTTTAATAGCCATGTTATTTAATAAATAAAAACTATAATAAAATTAATAAAATAAAATAGAAATTTATAAATTCATCTATCGTTAATTATAAAACCACAACTTTTAATTAGTGATATTAACAATTAATTACTTTTTATGGTTTTTCGTGAGATTTATTAAATATAACATAATAATATTCTTTCCGTTCAAAAAATTTAATATAAAACTTTCGAAATAAATATTTGTAAGCTTTGAAATATTATAAATTATATATAAGAAATAAAAATTTATTGTCAAAATATTTTAGAGCTATAAACCCTTCTGATATTTCAAATGTTTTATAAATGTGTCAAAATAATATAAATATGTTAAAAGAATATTGCTATTACCTTTGCTTTGTCTTCTTCATTTTTGTTCTGGAACAAATATGCAATAAATAATTACGCATATAAAAACAACAAATAACCATAGCCATTTCTAATTTTCAAATAAAAACATTCTTAACTATATAATTCTTAATAAAATAATTTAAATATGCAGAATCATCATTGACTAATAATAACAACTTATAATTTTCATTAAAAAATTTTCGTTTGTAATTTAATTATAACTATTAATGAAAATTTACATTTTCTAAGATATTATAATTTGTGTTGTAAATTTAATTCATAAAATTTTCTTTTTATACTTAGAATATGATTTATGTTAGTAAATTTATGTTACTGAATTGGAATAAATCAATATAATATGCGCAAAAAAGCATTGGAAATAATTATATTATTACCTTTATGGAATATACAAGACCAGATATTTTATTCTAAAACAATAATAATATATCTGAAGATTAATGACATTTATTACAATAAAATTTCATATTACGTTAATTAACTATTCAAAATATTATTCAATACTATTTTAAAGAATTATAAACTAACTTATATTTTATTTTATTAATTTTGAATAATCATTAATTATATATCCATTATTAATCATTTTAACACCAAATTTTAATATATTTATATTATTTACCATAAGGAATTTTATGTTTAATAAATCCAAAATTATTGAACATTTATGGTTTTGATATTTTTAATTATTCTAGTTTATTTTCAATAATGAAATTATACGACATTTTAATATAATAAAAACAATATTTAAGTAGAAGTTTAACAAAAGCATGAACTTAATATTATAATTTAAAATATAATATTATTTATCATATAAATATATCAAAAATATTTAAGATGTAAAACTAATGAAATCATAACGATAAAATAATTAAATAAAATAGTATAATTTAATAATTTTCAATTGTATATTTAAACTATATATATGAACTCATTAAATTACCTTTAATCGATCGCCTATTTTCTCATTCTGAAACAAATATATGAAGTATGTACATTTTATTCTATATATATATATATATATATATATATATATATATTTATAATTATATTTATTTATTATTATAATTGTAATTTATGAAAAACAACATAATTATATAATATTAACAAATTTGAGAAAGATTTCATAATTCTCAATACTAGACAAATGAACAACATTTTTATTTGAAACGCTTCGAACTTTTTTCATTATTTTAAATAATGTTAAAATTTTGTTCAATGGAATATTTATTTTTATAATAATTATTAAGATTTCAAATATTTTCAATACAATTAACAAATATTATCATATATTATATTGGAAAGTATATTATAAAGTAATTTATAATATAGATATTACATTAAAATATTCGAAGAAATATAAATCTGTAATATTATATATTTCATAATATTCATTGAAAATAGTTTTTAAATATAAATTTTTTTAAATAAATTTGGTCGAATATATACAATTATTTCTATAGTGAACTTTAAATACTTTCTGAGTCGTCAAAAAAATAAAAACTTAAGTAATGAAACTTGGACGAAACTATATTATATAGCGGTTAAACTCTTTTTATATATTAAGAAAATAATCGTAAATTATTAATTACCAGTATGGAATGAAGTGCCGCTTTAAATTTATTCTGAAAAAATTGAAATACATTTGAAAAATTGTAATTTACAGTTCATTGGAAATTGAATTATTATAATAATTAATTTTATTCTTATATCTGTTTAATATATATTTACTTCAAAATATAATAACAACTCTGAGGACAAATAAAACATTGATTATTATAATATTATTTATAGATTATTATAATAAGCTCGTGATTAATAAATGGTCTTTTTTTTGTCGTTAATGTGCGTTTACTATTAGAATAATAGAATAATACATTCTATTATTGATAAGTGTAATAAGCACTTATTTCAAATTAATAATAATTATTAAATTACTGAAACATATTAATTGAAATTCATAACTTATAGAAAATCAGTAATAATTAAAAATTGTTTATACTACCTTTTGATTGTTACCGTCATACTTATTCTGAAATAACAACAGCATAAATTAATAGTTAATTCAACATAATTGTTCATATACATATATAATTTATAAATGAATTTTAGTGTGTGAATTATTTATATATAAACTTCTTCATATAATTCAAATTAAACAAATTATATTAATAAACTAAATCATGATCAATGCTCATAACATAAACTTTCATAAATAAATAATATTTAATGACTTTGGCATTCGCTGCTTTATTTAAATGATATTAAAGTATAGAACATTATTCTAATAAACAACAATAAATATGCTTTGTTTGAAAAAAATTTTATACCTTAAATTGTTTAATTTATAAACCTATTCTGATTTAAATTTTAATTATAAGGTGAATTGAATTTATATCTAAGTATTTAATTCTATATTATATCTCCTTTTTTTTAATATATCCGTCATTTCTTTATTAAATTAATATATTTCTTTTCATTAATGAAATGGAAAAACAAATTTAAATATAACAAAAAACAAACCTTTCCAGCGAACAAAATGGTCTTCTTATTAATCTGAAACAGAGATAATATTTAAATAGGAGTACCACTGACGATCTAAATATTTATAAGTATATTAGTTTATTATTATAAAAGCAATTTTTTACAATTAATTAATTTTCTATAATTATATTAGAATAATTGTTTGCAATAATATTAATTTTTACAATATATTTGTGCAATGGTAATGCAGATGTATGTAAATGGAGAAAGCTTGATATAACATATTACAGCAACGATTGATGCTTATTTTGTTAGAAAAATTAAAATACAATACTTCAACTAAAAAATTATCTGTGTAAGTTGTAAATTAAGCATTGTTATAAATTTCAGTAAGGTTATTTTTATTTTACTAATGACTCAACCTCCGGATTTCTCAAATTATGATGTGATTATTATGAATTACGTGATTGCTTGAATAATATTGGATAATAAAAAAGAAAATTACAAATAAATTAGACTTATATATATATATATATATATATATATATATATGTATAATATTAATAAATCTGTCCTAATTGAACATGTTTTCACTTACCTTTAATGCATCAGGGGATATTTTTCTCTGTAACATAGAAAAATTGCATCAATGCACGTATTGTAAAAAATTATTGATGATTCACTTAAAAAAATTACAGATTTCGAAGTGACTTTTTATAGTTCAATATTACGTAAAGAATAATTGACTTATTTAAGTGACCTTTCAAATAAATATTTTATTTTTTAGTTCATTATTCACATTATTCATGAGAAATTTTTAAACATTGAAAATGAAATTCTCGACAAATATAAACATTTGCATATGCCGTATTTATAGCGAATTTCAAATTACATAACTTATGCAAACTTTTTATTCAATTATTAAACATGAATGTTTCTAATTTGCATATTTAACTAAGCCATTAAAAGTATTCTAATAAAATTTGTTTATACATTTTTTAACGTTATTCCAAATACTTTATTGATCTCAGTAATTTACAGGACCTATTTACGAGTTTAATGAAATTATTTAAGGAGCATAATATATTATATTATTTTAAATTATTCGAAGTATAACAGCTTATTCTCCTTTTCATAATACTGTTAGAATAAGATTAATTGTTTCAATGTAAATATTCAATTATATTGTGAAAAAAAAATAGAATGTTTATAAGGAATTATAATAATTACCTTTACATAATACGCAGCGCCAGAAACTTTATTCTGAAATAATAATAATAAGTACATATAATAATAAGAACATATTTATTGTATTTAAACATTGTACTAAAATAATATTTCTTATGACTAATTTTTTTTTAATTTATCAATGATACAATTAATAATATTAAGAAAATCTTTCAAAATTGATCTATTTTCATAAATTTTAAGGCCGTGTTGTTTATAATAAAATATTTTGCCTATTCGATATACTAAAGAACTTCCACATTATAATCATTACTATATAATAAGTATTACTTACTATCATGAAAGATTATCAAGCCATAAAATAGATTCTATCATAAAATATCTATTACCTTTTCATCGCTGCCAATTATTTTATCCTGAAACAAATATATTAGGTATAAATATTAATATATTCAAATCATTCGGTTTATTTATTATTTATCCATACTAAACACTACATAAATAACACTGCATGTAATAAATTTTAACTTATTAAATAATCATTTATCATATAATTGGAACACTATAACAATACGAAGTTTTGTTTATTTAGTTATTAAAAATACTTGAAGTTTTTATCAATAAATATATAAAAAGATTTATTTAATCATTAAGCAATCAATCGATAATCAATGCTTAATAATATATTTTATAATATATATTTCGGAGGTATGCCCGACATTGTAATTCAAACTTTTTAATTCTTTTATATTGTCATTCACTTGAATTTAAATAAAACAGTTACTCAAATCAAATAAATTAATATTATTTCATTTTGTTTATAAAAAATATAACTTAAAGATATCATTAAATTTATTCAATAATTAAATGTTTGGCCTTAAGAAGTAAAATAACAATATAAACATTATTTAAATAAATTATCCTATTAATACAGAAATGTTTCAATTTAATAAAATTAATATAATATTAATAAATAATTACCCTTTTAGAAGCAAAACCTGCAACAAATTTATCCTGAAATAGTAATAATAAGTCAAATAAAAATTAATTTATATTCAACAGCGACATTTTTCATTAATATTTTAGTCTTTAGAAAGTCGATAGAAAATATTTTATCATTGTTTATTTTATTATACAAAAGAATAATCTCGTTTAATTAAAATTATATATATCAGTAATGAATTATTGATTAAAAATGTTATTAATTTGCTATTCCAGAAGTTTTATCCAATGATTTATTATGATTTGATATGATTTTTAGACTTTGTAACAGAATCATGTCAAATCTAATCCACGCTAATATGCCACGAAATAGTTTTAACTATCTAAAGAATTATTCTACATATGATTTACTAAAGTAAATTAAATTCACTAAAATAAATCAAACGAATATACGTTTATGTGTGACAAAAGAATTTAAATGATTTTAGTTTAAAGTCGGGTAGTATATTTTCATATAATTTTTAGTCTAAAATATGTAGTTTCAAAAATGAACAATTTTTAACATGTATAAACATTCAAGAAAGAAAAACGTTTTCACGTTTTTCATACGTTAGAGTATTTACATAGAAAAATTTACATGAAATTAAAATAAAGTATTAACTTACTATGAAAATATTAAATAGAGATAAAGTATATACGTATACTAAAATGACCGTGAAAGTCTTCACGTATAATATATATTTATAATATTTAGTATATAATTAAAAATAAACAATAAACAATTTATTTTCTTGAACTAATTGTTAACTTATTACATGAACAAGCTTTGAAAAATTCTTTTTTGATTAATAGAACGTAAGAAATATGTTCGTTAAAATATTAAATATAATATATTTTATCTGTTACCTCGTGTTCATCATCCGATGTGTTTTTCTGAAAATAAATTGTTAAAAACAATTGATATAGTACAATTTTAAATACAAACAATATATTCTTTAAATGTATTATCGATCATAAAATTATTACCTCTTCTGCAGCCAATGCGCCAGCTGATTTAATCTGTCGAGAAAAATTATAGATAAATATAGTGAAATGGTGTTTCTATATTATTGTATTATTAAAAAAGCAATTCCAATATAATTACTAAGTATTTAAATATTATATATTAAACATAAAGTAAATTATAAATTGTTTTCAAACTTATGTTATAAAATTCTTTAAATTGATTAATGTAACGAATTGTAGGTAATTAAAATAAAATTTACATTGACTATAAACAAAATATTAAAAGCTTTATTACCTGATATTTCTGAGGTTCATCGGGTGATGAATCCTGAAAAATATATGACAGTGAAACTATTAATAATGCCTAAAATTTCTTCTTTGTTTTTCTTTTTTTTTATTAGAATAATAAAAATCTCATTATCGTAATATTTTCTTTGTTAATATTTCCTACGAACTTAGGTTATAGACGATGATTTAAAATTATTTAATATATAGGCTTGTTACACAATAAAAGCTGTAATTGTGAAAAATGAATAGTTCAAAAATATTTTGTTTAAATATATCGTTTTAAATAGTGAGATGTTTTATTATATTTTCAAATTAATTAAATATATTTAAAATTATTACATCTTGATAAGACGCCTTGCCCAGAGATCTTATCTAAAAAAGCAATTAATTTGTGCATTAATATCTTTCATTGTTATATTTCATTTTCTGGATTACATATTTTATAAAAAACTATAGATAAAAATATTATAATAAAAATAATACATAAAAGAATAATATAAAACTAAGATATTTCAAATATTTACTTTGTTTATATTTTTAATATTTTATATTTTGAAAATTTTGTTTTTATAATTCTATTATAATTACTGAATAAAATTAAATTAATAGTTTGATAAATAACGGTATATGAATATAAATATATATATATATATATTAAATGTAGATTAAATGTTACCAATAGTTGTTTTCCGC